TGCCCCGCCCCACCCCGCGTACCCCCCCAGTGGAGGCACCCAGGCCTGGCTCCCTCTCTTGGCGCCGGCTGTGGAGCTGGGGCCCAGCCTCCCCTTCATGGCTTCTACCCAGCTTTGTGACTCTTGCCTGGCCTCCCCTGCGGGCCTCGTGGCCCGCCTGGGCCGGCTCCCCCAGCCTCTCCCTCCCCCCCTCCGCCCATCCTCCGCCACACACTGGTCCCACCAAGGGGCAGCTGCTGGTCTCTGTGTGGACCCAAGACCTCCTCGTGGGCATCAGTGTGTCCCCAGCCCACGGGCCCGGGCTCCACCTCACTGTGGGCTCTGAGCTTCCTGTCTGGCTTCTAGAAAGGACACAGGAAGTGCTGGCTGGGAGTTCCGATGCCCCCTGCAGGCCGGTGCTGGACTAGGAAGCACTGTGTCACACAGTGGGGACAGCTCCTGCACAGCCCTCCCTGTTGCCCTGCGCCACGGCGTGGACACCACGTGGAGGACACGGCCACGGGGTGCAGTCATGAGACAGCACAGCGCCACGGCGTGGACACCACGTGGAGGACACGGCCCCGGGGTGCGGTCATGAGACAGCACAGCGCCACGGCGTGGACTCCACGTGGAGGACACGGCCCCGGGGTGCGGTCATGAGACAGCACAGCGCCACGGCGTGGACTCCACGTGGAGGACACGGCCCCGGGGTGCCGTCATCAGACAGCACAGCGGATGATGGCGTGGCGGGAGGAGGAGTGGGCGCTCAGGGAGGAGCGACGGCCGAGCTGCGTCCGTGCTAGGGAGCAGGCAGAACACAGCAGAGGATTCTGGGAAGGAGGGGCAGGCCAGGGAGAGGGCCGACCAGGACATTCCAGGGAAGAAGCTGGGTTTGGGGTCCGGGGACTGCGCCCCCAGAGACACCACTTGGGTGCAGCAAGGGTGCAGGGTGGCGCAGTGGCCGCGCAGAGACCAAGGTGATGGCCACTCATCCTGGTTTTCCTGCCCCCAGAGGGTGGACACAGGAGCCAGCGGCTCTGCCGAGATGCAGACCCCATCGGGGGCCATTCAACCGAGGACGGGGGACGTCGCCCACCGCCCTCCCTACGCCCCCCCACACCCTTTCTCCACTCCCTCGGCTTCCCATGGGGCACCGCAGGTCCGCCCACCCCGGCAGCCAGGAGAAGTTGCTGACCGAACGGCGGGGGGGAGTGGGGGGGGGAGGCGCTGCCGGGCCGCTCTGAGCCCGGGCATCTGCGGCGGCGTCCTCCGAGATGCGGAGGCTGTCCCCTGCTGTGAGGCTGACGTCACGATGCGTGAATGGGATGTGGAGACCCGCGGCCCTGTCCGGTGGGCAGAGGCCCTTCCACCCCCGCCACACCTCGCCTGCCCTGCAGGGACTTTGGTTTTTATTTCTCCAAACCTGGCTGCTCCCAGCCCACCTGGAGGAGCGGGTGCTGGTGGCTCACACCTATAATCCTAGCTACTCAGGAGGCTGGAGATCTGAGGGGCAGGGTTCAAAGCCAGCTGGGCAGGAAAGTCCATGAAACTCTTATTTCAAAAGAACCACCAGAAAACTGGAAGTGGTGCTGTGGCTCAAAGTGGGAGAAAACTCGCCTTGAACAAAAGAACTTAGGGATAAAAACCACAACCAAAAAGAATTAAGTGTATTATTTAGAAGTAATACGGAGAGCTTAATGATATCAATATAATGATATCAGTACTAAGTATTATCCCCGTTGCTGTAATAAATGAAAATTCCTAATCATGGCTGTGCCAAGTTTTCTGTCATCTACAATTTTAATCCTACTCTAAAACATTTACAATCAAGCTCATAAAAATGACTCTAACAAGCATGTATTTGTTAAACAGTTTTTCTTTAAATATTTGCTCTGAAAGTTTTGTAACATTTGGGAATCACAACTTCTGATGAATAACCAGAATAGCATTTTGAGATGCTGGGACACTACTTAAAAGGCTGACAAATTATTAAACTTAAAAATGGACTCTGGGTAAGTTCGCCCTAAGAATCGCTCCTGCTAAACCTCTTAATTGCTTAAATTTGGTCAAAAGATCTAATGAACACAGACCACATCCGTCTGTCGCTACCCTCTCCTGGCGTCCCTCCCTCCTTCCCCACCCTGCTCCCACCCTCAATCCCGTCCCCCCAAAAACTATGGGGTGTTGGGATCGCAACAGACTGTGGGGAGAAATCTCAGCCTGGCACCGAGAGACAACCAAAGCCAAATCACACAGTGGCCAATCATAATCTCTTCAAAAATGTTACCCAAGAACAGAGTGAGGAGGGGATTGTCAAAACCCAAATGGTTCCTCTCATGACCGCCCTTCTGAAAGTACACAGCCAGGAGGTTCTGGAAAAGGAGGGTGTCCATAGCTTCACCGGCGAGCCACAAGGAGCCCGCGCCCACGGCAACAAGGACCTGCGGGAGACCGCTTTCGACGGTTTCAAGGGGAGTTGGAGTGCCACGCCTGTGGCGTTGTCTTTAAAAGGGTCAAGTCCTTTTAAAGCCCCTTGTGGGTGGCCCTTCCTCCAAACAGACAGTTTATGTCACACTAGGATGGTAAAACGAAGGCATGGGGGCTCAAGCTGCAATCTTAGCCACATGGAAAGGGGGGTTGGGTGTTGAGATCTGAGGCCAGTCTGAATTTTTTGAGGTTTCCATCAATTCAGTGGCTGGATGTGACAGCACCGGCCTGTTGTCCGTGACAAGGAGATTCACAGCCCAGGCACGAAGTGAGACTGTCTCTCAAAACTAACCAAAGCAGAGGACCTGGCGGAGTGATCACCGTGGTAAAGGACCCACCAAGGTCACCCCAGCTAGGGCCTAGACACCTCATCCCAACCCCCAGTGCACGCCCAAAGGGCTCTAACCTTTATCTGTATGGGAGTCAAATGCTCATCAACACTTGAAGGAAAGTTGACTGCACCAGTCAACTCATGGAGGCATGCTACAAAAGTAAGCAGGGGGAGGGGTGGGTGAGAAGGCGGAAGGGTGACGCTGTGGAGATGCACTGTGTTCATCGACTGCTGTGCAAATGGGGACGCCCCTGCACCATTACTCACAGGCCGTGCACACACACACACACACACACACACACACACACACACACACTAAAACAAAACAAATGAAACAAATTTTTTTAACTTGAAAGGACTGATGTCCTAGGGCTACCCTGGAATCTTCTGGAAAGCTTGATACTGTCCTGCTTTCTACCCCCACAACAAATCAGAATTCTGGGTACTGGGACATGTCTCCAGAGCGGAGCCCTCAGCCGACACAGACACTGCAGACCCTGACCACTTCCCAGCCCACCAGTGAGCACTTCCCGATGATCAGTAAACGCCTCCCGCCAGAGCCCGGGTCAGCATGGAGCATGCTCATGCTTCTCTGGGGGCCGCAATGCCCACGCTGGGGCATCCCCGGGAGGCCAGGCCGGGACGCCAGGCCCCCGTGTGTGCTCCTGGTACCCGTCTTCTCCCACAGCCCAGCTGGCTCGCCCGGGCAGAACCTGGACCTTCACACCAGTGATTCCCCGCTACCTCCAAGGACGGGGCTGCGGTCAGACCCTCCTCCATTCCCCGGGCCCCGCCCAGCCTGCAGTGTGGCCAGCCTAGCGGCGTCCTCCCCTGGGCTGTCCACCACCACTCACCCCACCCACCTGCACACCTGCGCGGTGCTGCTGGCCATTCATAAAATGCAGTGATGTCCTGAGCTGCCACACAAGGCCACACCCTGGGGTGTCAACAGGCTCAGGTGGAGGGCCGCCCCGCTCTGGACTTCCCTAGTAAGGAACGGAGCTTGCAAGTGCCTGGCCAGCAACTCTTTTCTGGGCCCTGCACACCCACCCTCCTCCTCCCCACCGAGCTGTGACTCCTCCCACAGGGCCTCTCGCCTCTGCTTGCCCTGGGCATTTCTCTGGCCTGCGTCTGGTACACATGCAGCCTGTGGGCAGTGCGTTCAGTGTTCCTGACTGCTCCGTGGAGCCACCGATCACCTCAAGTGCAGTCCCAGGACACCTCAGGACCCTGGAACGGCCATTCCCGGCACAGGACAGGACCCTGGACCGGGCATTCCCAGCACAGGACGGGCCCCTGGACTGCCCATTCCCAGCACAGGACGGGACCCTGGACCGGCCATTCCCGGCACAGG